GCTTATTTTCTTATTTTAGCCCAAATAATAATAAATCAGAAAAGGCCTGAAATTATCAATCGGCATTTAAAATGCTGAACGAAATTAGGGTTAAAATGTATTTAGACGGAAAAGCGGGTTGATTCCCGTCTGACGGTGGGATTTCCCGTGACGCGGGAAACCTGCCGTGACACGGGAATTTCCGTGTCCTTTCCGCGTAAACCTTAACGCGTTTTCTTCCCCGTTTACTAAAAATTTCCCGCGTCACTCAAAAATTGCATCGTGTCACGGGAATGTTTCCCGTCTGATGGTGGGACAACCCGTGTCACGGTACAATTTGCCGTGTCGCGGGATACTTTTTTAGGGTTTTTATCATTTTAGGGTTCCGTGTATTCCCTCAGCACATTTTCTCTATAAATACCCCCTCATTTCTGATGTACGGGGCATCAATTAATTCTCTAGTTTTTTCTCTCTTCTATGCTCTAGCCTAAACACTAGCCTACCCTTCTTCTTTCAAAATTCCTTCTTTAAGTACTCCAAGGAGTCCATACTTTACTCGTGGTTCTGTCCTTAAGTCAAGGCGTGAAAGTTAGAACTGTTTGAGGGTTTGGCCCCAAATCAATTCTATTTAATTTAATTTAATTATTGTTTTATTATTATTATTTCCTTGAAGTAACTAACTCGTTTATTATTTGTAGTTGCAAACAAACAGAATCAAAGTAAGAATTATGTTCCTTTTATTTCTATTATTTTTCTAACGATTTTATATTGTTGGAATTATTGTTAAATTGCTTCCAATATTGATGTTATTCTATTTTTATTATTATTGATCACTATATTGCATGTTTAAAGGGAATATGTAATTGAAAATCACGCCTAATAAGATAATTTGGACAACCGGTTTAGGTTTCTTTTTAATCTTGTTATTAATTCAAGTGATCACAATATTTTAGAATTATATGTTGCATTAATATTAAACCAATTTAGCTTAATAATAGTTTGGAGCAAATTGAATCTTTTTTTGTATGCCTTTGAGATCGCAGGAATCACTTTTCACTATAAAAATCGAGTAGAGGCCAATACGGGCGAATGTGACTCCATGACTCACTTCGTACCATCATCCTCGATCCTCCTTTCGTGGTTCCGAACCATATGGAGTTAGTAATCTCATGGGTTATAAATGGGGTGTAACCTTCACGGGTCAATCGTTGTTGCCTTCGTTGTCCCTTATTCGTGGTTGCCTTATAATGATCCGTGAACGGTTTACAAGTTCCTTAAAAACTTGTTGGCGGCTCTCTACTTTCCTTGTCCCTGATCGTAATGTCAATTCCCTCTTCCTATGAGTGCCAAGCATATTCACAACGTGCTTTTAACGTAGGCGCACTTCAAACGACGCCTACACATAGTTTAGCAGTGTATGTGTCAAACATCTCATTAGGAGGACAGAGATGGAACATTCTTACCTGACGTTGACTTCTTCCAAGAGCAGCTAGCTGATGAGCCAAATGGTTGACTGCCCTCCCAGCATGGAGAATAAGAATAGACTAGTTTTGTTAGAGAAGATGTGCAACGTCCCTAATAATTTTTCCCATGTCATGGTCAACTAGGAATTTGGGTTATTGAGCATTTCCCTTAGAGCATTAGCACTTCCACGTTCCTACAATCACAGGATTTCAGTGAAACCATATATGCTCTTGCTAATGGCCAAAATATATCACTGCTACACCCATATATTTTCTAATCTGATAGGAGCAAACACAACCTACATTTTTTACCGTTCATATTCTAAATTATAGGTTCAGCTATTTCATTTACTTTATAGTGTAATTAGTTTACTTTTATTTGGTTTCTATCTACTTTTGAAATTGATAAAATAATACTCATAGGAGACATTACTAGTTCAATAATAGCACAGTGTGTAAGCAGCAAGTAATATAAGATTTATCTTTATAACTTCTTTAGATGTTGGTAAAATTGTACAAGGTTGTTCAATCTCTCTTACAAAGCCACAACGTCACATTGATTTGAAAGACTGCTTAAGTTTTTGTGAAATATGTAGGAGCTAGATTACAATGAATTTCTAAACCAACATGTCAGCAATTAAGATTAAGAACAAAGAAATGAGCAGCTTTATATCAACCAATGATCAAGAATGAGGCAGAAAAGTGACGAGCTTTGTAATATATTACCACCTGCTGGTTATAAATGTAAACTCCAACGTTCTCCAAGTTTGAAAGATTGCCAACATCATCAAGTTCAACTTCAGTCTTGAAACCAAGTTTTGTCAATACTTTAAAACTTTTAAACTGTTTCAAAAAATTATACATCTAAGAAATATTCAAATCATCTTACAACATGCAAATAATTACCAATGTTACACAAACAAAAGAACCCTCTCCTTTCAGTTTTACCATAATTTTGATTACTAGCTATTTTTTGTTAGAGTAGAAGATCAAAATTTATGCAAAAACATAAGCTAAAAACTAACATTCAAAAAATCATATAACTCAATCGTCATAAAATTACCATGAGAATTTACTCATTAATTCACATAGATTTGTTCACAAACTCACCAACATTCACATAAATTTCAATGTCGGTGTTTTGTACTCAAGGTATTTAAGGAATTCTAGCAACAAAATCAATCACTATAATCATTCACAATTTAACCTCAAAAATTATATATAAGAATCGATTTTCACAATTAAAAACCCTAAATTGACTATACAAAATATAAAATTAACGATGAACAAGGATAGTGAAATTAAAAACGGTGATTAACAAAAAAAAGACTTACCTCAAAAACTACTTCAATGGAATATAGAAAGCCTAGAAGCCGTTTTAATGGAGTAGTGAAAGCTCGAAAGTCGCTTCAATGGAGTAGAGAAAGCTCGGAGCCCGCTTTAATGGAGAATTCAGAGGCTCTTGTAATATAGGAGAGAGAAAATGCCTAAGGAGAGAGAAAGTGCGCATGAGTTTTGGAAAATGAACTGAATATGCATGATTCAATCTGGGTCGTTTGATCGCAAACCTCTTCTCTTAGATCTGACGGTCTAGATTAGTTCCTAGTTCCTATTATAGGATTGGTTCTCATTATAACCTGGTCATATATATATATATATAATTATAAAAGGTTATCACACTAGGAATGCAAGCCATAGTGGTTCGAGAGCCCTAATATCTATAAAAGATCATGGGTTCGAAAATGGAAAGAAACACAAAAAGTATGTAAAAGTAAGAAAAATAATAAGTATAAAAGGCTGCATCTTTTGTTAATATAGTTAATAATATACATGTAAAGTTACTACTAAGCAATTGTAATAACTAAGATCAAATTTTACGTAAAACATGAGCATGTAATATCAACATGCATGAATCAAACAAAGAAACATCAACATGAATAAAACAAGAAACATCAACGTGACTAAAACCCAGAGGATAGTAATGAATTCATAAGTAAGAGAATTTTTTTTTTTCACCATTGTTTTTTAGGTATATATAATACAGTAAATGTTTGAGTTTCCGGTATAGAGGATCTCAAATATAGACAACTATAGAGCATACTCCTCAGAACATTTAGAAGTAGATAGTATTACTTATAAATTTTTTTACAAGTAGGTATAAATATACCTGACTAGAAACTGGTGCTTATAACGTGTTAAAGTTTTACACGATAGGAAGTCTTTTTAATCAGTGAAAGAAAGATAGGAAAGAGTAAAATGAGATGAGTTCAATGTTAGTGTAGTATTGCATCGTTAATATGGCTTATATAGCCAATGCAAGAGTCCTACATATATTGCCTTACAAGTTCACAAGTCTTTAGACTTATATGAAAATTGAAAAATCAAATCAAATAATTGACATTCACATTATCTTCTACTACCTCTGTCCCCGAAAGAACAACCCATTTGGCCTAATTTTAGTCCTAAAAAG